GTGCGCTTGCCATATGGTAGCTAAGTATGGCGTGTGCTGGTTTGTTTTAATAGCCACGTGCACTTGCCCTATGCCTACCGTAGAGGCGAGCAATGAGCGTCGTGTTGACGTTTGCTATGTGAGCAATCCTAGCGGTATGCTAATGAATACTGGTGAGTCGTATCCATTTTATTATGATTCTGGGCCGAATTACCCTCTCATCAAAGATGGTTCTGAGGCAAAAGTTTAAATACTATCGTAAATTCAACCGGAAGCGGTCATGTTAGTGTGCAAAGTACCCCACAAATACGCCCATGATCATGTGAGGAAGATCCCCGATCACCAAGTTCCTCTAGAGTTAGATGTCATAGTTGATGACAGTGGTAGTGAGACCAAATTTGATTAAGAATGCTTGTATACTCATACTCAAAACTTTAGACCGCACCTCATGAGTAACATGTGGCGATGGGTCTGTAGGAAATCGTTGGTGCGATTTCTGTCTGTGTTGGTGCACAGAGCGCTTCATGTGTTGTAGCATATTTGGCGGTGGATATGTGGAGAATCGTTGGTGCGATTCTGGCATATGTGACGGCAGATATGTAAAGAATCGTTGGTGCGATTCTGGCATGTATTGGTGTATATTTGGCGGCAGATATGTAGGGAATCGTTGGTGCGATTCCGACATATGTGGCGGCAGATGTGTTATAACATATTTGGCGGTGGATATGTGGAGAATTGTTGGTGCGATTCTGGCATATGTAACGGCAGATATGTAAAGAATCGTTGGTGCGATTCTGGCCTGTGCTGGTGCACAGAGCCCCTTATTTATTGTAGCATATATGACGGCAGATATGTGGAGAATCGTTGGTGCGATTCTGGCATATGTGACGGCGGATATGTAAAGAATCGTTGGTGCGATTCTGGCCTGTGTTGGTGCACAGATTTCAATGAAAGTTTCACGAGTTGAATATGCATTGCTTATGAATTGTAAAGAGTAACAAAATTGTTAAAATTACTGTGTTGGAACTTGTTGATCGGACCTCTCACAATAAATCATGTTGTGCAGGAAGCACTGTGTACGAAACCTTAATGACAAGGCATTGTCAATTGTGACAGTTGACTATTGTACTTAGACTTAGGAGAAGTGAAGTACCATTTTGAATCGACCTTGTTTCTATTGGCAGAATAGCCGAGCTAGATTAATCTCTGAGCATATTTTGTTTACAGGCACTGCAACCGAGGACGAATGCTAGTCAGGAATGGCCGTGTCATGGATTGATGGCGCCATAGCGCAACAAGCAGCGCTATCTAACAATTAGTTTAGCGAACTAAGAATATGTACCTACTCGTGTTAAGGCGGACGAGCAGACGAATTGGTGACTAATAGTGTTTGTTACAGGAATGCATGAAAATACACGCCCGAGGACGGTCGTACATCAGGACGGCCGTGTCGGAGCGTCTATAAAATACCCGGTTGGATCGAGGTAGAATGGAGGGTATATCGAGAAACCCCCTCTTGTGTCTGTAGTATAAAGTTCACTGTAGGTGCCGTGCGCCAGGGTTCGCTCAAGTCATTCAACGAGTGTGGTCATTCTACTAAGATAGTGTCGTGGTTTTGTTCGTTGTAGTAATTCTTCTAGTGCAGGCAAGGAGGATTAGTGTTGCTGAGAGGCTGCCCTGTGTTACATTGAGATAAGTAGTGTTGCTGTTGGTTTACATATTTTGGTGTTATCATGTAATTACGTACCCCACGTTACACTGGTGTGTGATTGTGGCGGAGACGTGTTACGGTGTGGTCGAACTGTAATTTCACTATACTGAATGTATAGTGCGTTACGTTGTCTTATTACTGATAATGATTAAACTGCGTAAGCAAGATAGCAAGTTGAACATCCGCTCTCACACTTTTATTCTTTTTAACAGTTAACGCTATCCTGATGTATTCCCGAGATCAAAATTGGGATCTCCTGTTGAAAATTCTCCGACATCAGAAGTGGGATCTCCTGTTGTCATTTCCGACATATTAATATAATCACCTTACAACGAAACCACATAAATGTGAAATTATTATTGATAACATGCATCTCCTCGTAAATTAAGTATTATTTTATTTTGCTATTTACACCAATGGATAGGCAATTTATTAATGAACATTTCTATAGTAAATTTTTTTTCAAAAGACCAAAATTTGATTTTATTAAGAAATTATTTTAAAATCTGGGCATATTCACTGCTCACGGGCTTCCTGAAGTCAGTGAGCGCTGAGCTCTTCGACGTGAAGCCCGTGTCGTTAGAGCGTCGACCAGCGCATACGCCACGTCATATGAGTCGATAATATTATTACTTATTAGGTTATTAATAGGTAGTATTATTTGTTTGTTTTGGGTATAATTTTTCGTATTAGTTATACATATATTTGTTGTGTTTTTTTACTGCGCGATGAAGCTTTTTGCGTGTATTTTCTTTGAAGTAAATGCAAATAAAAAAATGAAGCACCATTAGCATGTAAGGGTCGAATCCATAATTAAAATTTCGACAAATATTATAATTTACACTATAAAAGGCTAATTCAATATTATCACCCAACCACAATATCTTATCAGGTATAGTAATGCCTCGTTGGTCTAGTGGTTGTAGTAGTGCGACTGCTGATCATGAGGTCCCGGGTTCGAATCCTGGGTCGGGCCAAAAAGTCAGTTATGAGTTTTTCGTTTATGTTCTAAGTTATAATTAGTATTACTAAGTTACAGTTTTTTGCTAAAACATAGTATATTATTTATTGCTTGTTTTTTCTTCTTTTTCAAAAAATAATTGAGTACATAAGGTGTTCTATACTTATAATTCGGTAAAAAGTACTAATATACCTACTTTTTACTATAAACTAAAAAAATTTAACACTAAATTTAACTAAAAAAACTAAACTGACCATTTATTTTTTAACTCATAACAGGACATGGGTTTATTTATACTCTAAAAACTATAACTTTATACAATTAGTGTTCACTATAAAATTATATTCGGTATAGACGGTAATTATTAAATGCAACATATTTTTTTTAATTATTAATTACATTTGTCAGTGGATTAAATTTGCTTTAATAAAGTTGGTGATGATTTTAAATAAGAATAAAATTCTGCTCAAGTTTTTTATTGTTATCTTTGTTAACAACATCGCATTTAGAACTCTGGAAGCGTAAGTGTTTCTTTCAGACGTCCACAATTTATGCAAAATAAAAAAATACTCTTTCTACCGGAGCATTCGTACCAGGTAGACATAAAGTATATTCGATTAAAAAAAATTATGTTGAAGATTGTTGACTTTGAATACTTCCATCCAACGTGTTACGGGACAATTTTATGTCCCGGAGCTTTGTTGGGGACAATGGGACAGGAGACCGAGAAAAGGGACAGTCCCGTTCAAAACGGGACGTATGGTCACTTTAGCTATAACCCGGCGTACATGAAGCAAATACAAAGTTAGTCTTTGTATTAGCTTCATGGTGGCGCAGTGGCTTAGCAATCAGTTGTTGCGCTGGGGGCCGCGGGTTCGAATCCCGCATGGAACAAGTATTTGTATGGCCTACAAATAATTGTTCCGGGTCTGGATGTTTGTCTTTGTGCAATTTATGTTGGTAAACTGCCTCCACGACACAGGAGAAAATCCTAGTGTGGGGGTAACGTTTTTTTACAACTGAAATTGAACGATTGAACCCTTATACTTCTTGTTGATTTTTGTATTACCTTTATTAAAGTTACCCTTATGTAGAAATAAATATAATTACGTATGTAGAAATAAAATTGATTTTCATCCTCATCAATCATTGGGGTGAGGATAATGTCTGCCAGCATAAGTATAAGCAGGCTAAGTTACAAGGTGCTCAGTTCAAAAATTAGTAGGTAACTTTTCAATACGTGACACGTAAAAATTAACAATAATCAAAAACACATATGCGAAACATCCTATTTATTTATTTATTTTTTATTGCACCAAATATTTGTACAAAAGCCGAGCTATCTATTTATTTACCTATAGTGAATAGGTATCTTTTAAACTCACAATTTTCAATGCTTCATTTTTAATATATAATTAATTATAAAATTTCATAATTAGATAATATATGAAAATACATAATTCTAATATAATGCAACTAATATATACAGAATAAAAAAATTAAAATACATTTATCTTTGTACGCCGTGTGTATTTCCATAAAATAGTTTATTGATGTTGAAAAAATAATACTACTTTCGTACAATAGGTGGCGTCTTACATATTTCTTCCAGCGCGCCGTATTGTAGCGAGCGGCGCGCCGGTCAAATGCTCAAGGTCGTTCGCATGGAGTAGCCCCTTAAATCAGGAAAGACACCAGAATCGATACAATTAAATATATTATGGACGCAATAACTGTAACAGAAATCCCTCATAAATCTGCGGTTTTCTTTACGAGTACATCAAAGGTTTTGAAATATTTTAAAATATCTTGCGGTAGTACTTTTTCAAATTTCTAAATTCTTTTAAACAGGTATTAACTTTCTGTTTGAGTAATGACTCTGCTACAGTTGGAGAAGTATTCAATAACTCTGTTGAGGAATATCAGTGAAATATTTCTCAAACACCGCTCGACTTCTTGATTTGGTCAATGCATTGTTAATTTTCAATTGACAGTTTGAGTTACGAGGTTTGTCTTTCCCGGTTTCGCTGTTAATTATACTCCACGCACGGAGTGTATGCACAAGCACATGCACACACTATTCCTTCACTTATAGTCTGATGGGACGGTAATTCGAAACGGCCGGAGAGTGAGCAGGCGCAGTACCAACGGCTTTACGTGCATACCGAGGCACGGGGGTGAAACACCGCGAACTTTCCGACTCCAGGCTGCTACTGAGACTTTCTTGACAGAAAAATCCAATAACTAATTTCGGCCCAACCCGGGATTCTAACCCGGGACTTCATCAGCAATCGCGTTTACGAACGAACAAGGCAGTCGAGTAGTGTAGGAGTGGTGTTGTATGTGCAGGCTGACGAACGCGATCAATACTCGCGGCAAGCAGCTGGTGCTGCGATTGAACGAGGTGTGCGACGGCAAGCAGCGCACGCTCGCAGAGAAGAAGCAGGCGCTCGAGCAGCTCGCCGCCATCACCGACCACTGCGTGCGCTTCGTCAACGCCGCGCTCTCACAGGTACACAGACGTACGGCACCACCACCCACCACCCACCACCATCACCACAGATAGAAGCAGACGTTTGAGCAGCTCGCCGCCATCACCGACCACTGCGTGCGCTTCGTCAACGCCGCGCTCTCACAGGTACACAGGCGTACAGCTCCACCATCCACCACCCACCACCACCACCACAGATAGAAGCAGACGTTTGAGCAGCTCGCCGCCATCACCGACCACTGCGTGCGCTTCATCAACGCCGCGCTCTCACAGGTACACAGGCGTACAGATCCACCATCCACCACTCACCACCATCACCACAGATAGAAGCAGACGTTTGAGCAGCTCGCCGCCATCACCGACCACTGCGTGCGCTTCGTCAACGCCGCGCTCTCACAGGTGCACAGGCGTACAGCTCCACCATCCACCACCCACCACCACCACCACAGATAGAAGCAGACGTTTGAGCAGCTCGCCGCCATCACCGACCACTGCGTGCGCTTCATCAACGCCGCGCTCTCACAGGTACACAGGCGTACAGATCTACCAACCACCACCCACCACCACTACCCACCACCACCACCCACCACCACCACCACAGATAGAAGCAGACGTTTGAGCAGCTCGCCGCCATCACCGACCACTGCATGCGCTTCGTCAACGCCGCGCTCTCACAGGTACACAGGCGTACAGCTCCACCATCCACCACCCACCACCACCACCACAGATAGAAGCAGACGTTTGAGCAGCTCGCCGCCATCACCGACCACTGCGTGCGCTTCATCAACGCCGCGCTCTCACAGGTACACAGGCGTACAGATCCACCATCCACCACTCACCACCATCACCACAGATAGAAGCAGACGTTTGAGCAGCTCGCCGCCATCACCGACCACTGCGTGCGCTTCGTCAACGCCGCGCTCTCACAGGTGCACAGGCGTACAGCTCCACCATCCACCACCCACCACCACCACCACAGATAGAAGCAGACGTTTGAGCAGCTCGCCGCCATCACCGACCACTGCGTGCGCTTCATCAACGCCGCGCTCTCACAGGTACACAGGCGTACAGATCTACCAACCACCACCCACCACCACTACCCACCACCACCACCCACCACCACCACCACAGATAGAAGCAGACGTTTGAGCAGCTCGCCGCCATCACCGACCACTGCGTGCGCTTCGTCAACGCCGCGCTCTCACAGGTACACAGGCGTACAGCTCCACCACCCACCACCACCACAGACGTACGGCTCCACCACCCACCACCCACCACAGACGTACGGCTCCACCACCCACCACCCACCACCACAACAGATAGTAGCTGGCGCTTGAGCTGCTCGCCGCCATCACCGACCACTGCTTGCGCTTCGTCAACACCGCGGTCTCACAGGTACACAGACGTACGGCACTACCACCCACCACCCACCACCACAACAGATAGTAGCTGGCGCTTGAGCAGCTCGCCGCCATCACCGACCACTGCTTGCGCTTCGTCAACGCCGCGCTCTCACAGGTACACAGGCGTACAGCACCACCACCCACTCATCAACGCACTGGTATTGAATTTAGAAAATACTTTTCGGTGTTGCAGGGCAGCGACACGGCCGTGCTGTACAGCAAGCGCGCAGTGTGTGCGCATCTGCAGCGCATCAAGAGCCGCCGCGCAGACATCCCCAACCCCGAGATACCCGTGCGCATCAGCCTGGCGCTCGACAAGCTGCCCGACCTGGTGCGAGGTCGGTACACGCACGCACACGTACACACGCACGCACAAAGCACGCACGCACGCACGCAGACACACACACGCACGCACGCACGCACATACCGGAAAAGATGTACGACCCTCTGATAAGCCCATACCGTAACACTTGGAGAATGCCTTTGCATGTTTAATGTTTTTGTTTAGGGTTTTCTTTACTCCAGTATCTGCAATTTTGTTTATTGATATGCTTATTTAAATGGAAATGGTCTCCGTCCGAAAAGAACTTTTTCTTAAAATTAAATCGCTTTCTTTATATTCTTGTACAAACTGCATCTTAAAGGCATGCAGTTTTAATTCCAATTTCAATATTCTATGCAAAGTCGTTCGAGGTATCGCCAAAGTATCTGAACGCTTGCTACGCGCAACCTTGAATGACACTGTTGTGTCGCACACACTCGTTTACTTGCGCCACGATCTCCTCGCTCCCTGTATGTAATGCGAATGCAAGCGTTGGTCCAATGCTGCTGTCAACAATCGACGCGATCGTGGTGAACGGCCACATTTCGCTTACCCAATTAAACTAAATAACTTTTCTGTCCTATTGTTAATAGCACATTATCTCTATTTTCTTTTGGAGGAGAGGTGACATATAGTGATATATTCATAATTCTTAACATGCCACTACTGAACATACGCCTCTCCCGTAGATTGCTTTATAGGGAGGACTTTGCCATAGTTGCCACGCTTGACAGGCGGGTTTTTAATATTTTTATTATCAGGAAGATCTGCTGCCCATCTTCTGTTTTAATTTCCTTTTATCGCCTTTTACCACGTCCGCGGGACGATATTTGATAGTGTATATTCTTACACCGCCACTATACGGTCAAGTATTGATATATGGTTTTATGACTATGTCCAGTCCTGTCAACAATCGGCGCGATCGTGGTGGATGGCAAGGTGGACGGTGGAGCGCAGGGACCCTACCACCCGCCCGCCGCCACTCCACCTGCGCACCAGCAGAACCAGCAGCACCAGCAGCAACAACACCAGCAGCAGCAGAACCATCAACAGCAACAGAACCAACAGCAGCAACACCTGCAGCAGCTGCAGCAGCAGCGGCCGCCACAGCACCCCACGCCACCTCAGTCTGCCGTCGTGGCGCTGCAGCAAGTCGCCATGCACCAGGTCACTACCACTTGCTTTTCCTTCTCCATCGGTCCATAAATCTCAACTGCTGGCAGGCGGTCACTGCCTGTGGTGCTCACGGCTCACAACTTAGGCCGCTACTATTGCGCAACTCCTTACTGCCAATGCTAATGTAACTTTTTTTTAAAGTGATAACTTCTTTTGATCCGATATGATTTGAAACTCGATGAAACGAAAAAGCGAAACTAAAGAGAGAGAAACATATACATCTATATTATTTAGCCTGCGAGAGAATGAAATAGAATACAACATACAGTATTTGTTATTAACCTCGGTCTCCTCTTTGTACGGTGCTTTAAAGATGGGTAATATAACTTTTAACCTTTTTAGCTTTCTGCGAAGACCACTATGTCGTCCGCTAAACGCAAGTAGTTCAGTATATCTCGATCTACCCGTATTCCCTTCGCTTCCCAATTTAGACATCTGAAAAAAGATTTGTGCACCGCTGAAAACAATTTAGGGGAGAGAGGGTCTCCCTGCCTTACTCCTTTTTGTATGGGGTATTATGTACCTTCACGTTCTAGGCGCACTTTGGCTAGACATTTTGTATATAATATACTCTTTTTTGTATATAGACTACAAAATAACTATTAAAGCACATTTGACTGAGACGTGAGTTTGACCGCATTTTTATAAATTGGCAGAGACCAACGAATATTAGGTCGATGATGCTAATGACCTAATTAGATTTTACGAGGACCTAATTAGATTTTACGAGTAATGTTCTACCGCGTGTGAACTGTACACATGTTTTTTTTTTATAGAACGGGGGGTGATAAACGAGCACACAGTCTACCTGATGGTAAGTGGATGCCGTGGTCCATAGACATTTACATCTATCTATATCTATGTGAGGACTGAGGTGGAATGCCTCGTTTCCGGGGTAAAAGGGTAAAAAGGATCTCCGGTTCTCTACACTCACCATACAAATCACAACAGCATCAAACTGTTAGTATATGCTGGTATTTTGTGGGAGTGTGGTCCTACTCCGGTCCAGACGAGCCACTCTTGCTACAACCATTACCAGCGTGGATCTACCACGTATAAGAAAGACAGTAACTATTAAAATTTGAAAAGTCAGCAATTTATTTATTACAGTTATATGTTATATTTAACTTAAACTAATCTTCACAAAGTCTAATTATAATAATTATCCACAAAATTTATATAAAAATGATAATTACTTATTGACACGTCACGCCTTTAATCTCCCAGGGGGTAGGCAAAGTCCAAAGAGCCATATGCTACTCGGACCACATTTAGCCAAAAAATATGCCTTTAGGTGGAAAGTTGTGACAGAAATAATAGGTGCAGCGCATCGCCTGCATAATCCCAAACCCAATGTCCCATTAACCGCCTTTTACGACAAGGTAGCCAAGTAACACAGTTGGCACATTATTTTTTCTATAAGTCTCGCCTAAATACGAAATTAATCATTTCAAAACCAACATAAGACATTATTATAATGTGTTTTATATTCATTTGTAAACTGTTACATGTCTCAGACATTGGCACGATACCAGGTCAGTCCTTCAAGACCGTTATGAAAATTTGTTGATATATTTTATATAAATTTTATTTCAACTTCACTCATTATTTAGCATTAATGTCTTGCGTGCACCAAATGTTTAAATAGTATATTTAAAATAAGTTTTCTTTACACATATTTTGTAGTAAAAAAGTGTCATTATGATCAGCAGTAATTTTAATACAGCAGTGTATTGTTTTAAATATGTTTAGCATATTTTTAATCCATTTGATTTGTGAGTCAAATTTTGTTTTAGTGGTATGAGAAGTATTTAAAAAAAAACTTGCTCATCGATATAATTGTCTATTGGTATTTATTAAAACCCTAGTTGAGTTGAGATTTCTTCTAGCTTTTTTGCTGTTATCATCAGCGAATAACTTAAGTATGAAGAAAAATGTAAAATGTGGGAAAATGATCTTAGATATTTTAGACTATGTAGCAATAAAAGGTCTATTTGTCTATTTTAGATAGTAATTGGATGCATGTTTGTTTGTGAAAAACTTTAGAATTAAAATGTTGCCATCGTACATTATTATTGTTTTGTACAATTTAATTATTTTGATGTATACTTTTTTAAATGTGTTTGGTATGGTTATTTTTATCTTATCCTTTCTTTTTACTTAGCTTACAAATAATAAGGATATGTTTTTGTATAAAATTGAAGTAATAAACATACATTTCACCTGATTTTAAGCGGCTATTGGTGGAATGATTGTGTGTCCGTGGACACCCACAACCGACTTCAAACCAAGAAGGCTACACATGCGTTGTCTTCTCTTACCATTAAGATGGAATGTCATACAGTATGTAATTATACTTTAAACTCTTCAATGTAGTGAGGGCGTAAAAAAATCCACTACACCAGTTCGTCCCTTTGGTATCATAAGAGGTGACAGAGGGAAATCGAACAGGAGGCAGTTGTTAACACTTGACAAATGTGGCAACTATGGCAAATATCACCCCTATCTATGGAGTGTCGGCAGTAGTGGACGTTGATAAGCTGTAATAAAAATTCTCTTCGTACCGTCGCAACACGCACAGCACGCACCGCTGTTTGGCGGCAGTAATAGGCAAGAGGGTGGTATCTCATTAGACGGACTCCTGCGCTTAAAAGGACATATATTACCCAGTAAATATATTTTTCTTTTTTTATATACTTTATTTGAATAATATTCAAATAAAGCATATTAATCACGGATCCACAATAGTATAAGACAGTGTGTTGTAGATGACTTCAGCGGAAGACCCATATTGTTTACTATTTTATTTTATACTATGATATGACATTTAGCATGTGTAAAAATATTTAATAATACATAGAAACCTGGTTAAATGGAATCTCGTGCTAATTAGAAAAGGTTATCATTCATAAATTTCTTAATATTGTACTTACCATTTGTATACAATCTTTGTTCAGTTAAGTTTTTATTTTTGACAGGTCAGATTTAAAAACTGATTCCGAGAGAGAGGGTTAATTCACCCGTACACATCTCCATCTTTGATCAACAATGCGGTGTTAACAGTGAAACCCAAAATGCTTACTATTTACATATATACCTCGTTAACAATACAAAATGGCCCGGCTTTAATAATAGAGTTTTCGGGGAGGAGGGGGGGGGGGGGGAGCGAGCGAAGCCGTGGCCAACGTTACAGCTGAAGTGTGCAAGTGCGCTCACACACGCCGCATTCGTGTACTCGTGTGTAGATAAGTGCGCGCTACTGGCGCCCGCCGCTCACCAATTGTACTTTATTAACTTGTTAATCTATACATTACTCACTGCATTTTACTAAATGCATATGAAAGTATATACGGTACTAATAACAAAAATACAATTTTTAAGGTTTTTGTCTGTCTGTCTGTTTGTTCAGGCTAATCTCTGAAACGGCTGGACCGATTTTGACGGTATTTTCACTGGCAGATAGCTGATGTCACAAAGATTAACTTAGACTACTTTTATTTTAGAAAAAGAATTATGGTTCCGCGAAAAAAAATTGAAAAATCCCAAATAACACGCGGGCGAAGTCGCGGGGTACAGCTAGTTGATAATAATATTATCCAATGTGAAATTGACACCGTACACGACGCGAACACGTATTATAGTGTGTTTACTCATAGAAAAATAAAATTACAATTTAATTTTACGCAATTATTCAAATTCTCAAATAAAGTCTCTCGGTTACATTGAGGTAAACATTTGCCTAAGCAATATGAAAAAAAAATCATTACTAATAATCATTATGTTAAGAGATAGAATAATTTACAACAAATGAAAAATTTAAGAGCTGTACTCAAACGGTTACGACGCATGGGTCTTACCGTTAAACTTAGCAAATATAATTTTTACAAGACAAGATAGATTAGATATCTTGCTTTTATCATCAATAAGAATGACTTGCGGTCAAATCGCCTAAGCCGGACAATGTACCTAAACTTAAAAGTTTTTTGGGAATGCTAAATTATTACGGGCGATTTATTCCAAATTTAAGTTCTTTATTACAAATTTTACATAATTTATTAAAAGAAATACTAGCTGGAAATGGGACACTCAGTGTGAGAAAGCATTTCGTGAGACGAAGCGATCTTTCCTAAGCGAACGGATGTTGGCGCATTACGAGAAGCGTGAACTCGTTTTGTCGTATAATATTAGCGCGTCCGAACTGGGCTGGTACACCGTTACCCAGACGGCAGCGAGCGTCTCGTCACCTGCGTGTGTCGCACACAATGCAGTCGAGTGCAATTATAACCAGCTCAACAAGGAGGCGAAATTTGAAAGGCGTTTCACTTTACGTTCAGACCACCAATCGTTGACTTATATTTTGGGGGGGTAAGGGAGGTAACCCCCAAACAGCAGCTAGCCCTTACCGAGGTGGGCAGCGCGACTAGATCGACGGACAACGAGCCTGCCGATGCTTTGTCGCGATTGCCGTTGTCTGGGGCAGGTCCTGCGAGAACTCGATGGATTATTTAAACCTAGTAGGAGACTCCTAGTCAGTTTGTTATAAAGACATCGCTAGAGAAACTCAACTAAACGATGCGCTAACTCAACTAAACGATGCGCTTTCTGTAATTGGTTGCCGAGCTTGTGCTGCGATAAAATGATGAAATGATGTCGAAAAGACTTATTTTGATAGGAAACTGGAATTTGTTGTAGAATAGAGGATGTTTAATGTATAAATATAGAATAGAAGTCCCTTACATTTGAGAACAGAAAGTTTTAGACAAATATTTACGAGAGCCACCTGGGTACATATAAAATGAAAAGTTTAGTGCGGAGTTTCGTGTATTGGGCGAGGTTAGATCGGAATATCGAGGAGGTTTGCCGATCATGTGCTGTGTATCGTACCGTGTTGGACGCGTCGCCACGGGTGCTACTGCACCCTTGGGGATTCCCGTTGCACTTAAGGCTACGTGTACGTGCCGATTTTGCAGGTTGTGGGGGGTACGAGTGCC